TTTATACAGAATGAGACCCTTGGTCAGTATTGTCTGCGCGGACTGGCAGCGGCTCTCTGGGGTCTCAAGTAGAGGGCTTTCATGTCACCTCCTACCTGATGCTTAGAATCATAGAATCCTAGAGTCGGAAGGGACCTCCAAGGTCATCTAGTCCAACCCCCTGCACAATGCAGGAGATTCACAAATACTTCCCCCCCACCCCCAGTGACCGCTGTTCCACACCCAGAAGATGAAAGAAAACCCCTCCAGGATCTCCAGCCAAAGTGGCCTGGAGAAAAATGGCTTCCTGGCCCCAAAGTGGTGATCAGCAGGGCTATTTTTGGGCAGGAACGCACCGGAACGGAGTTCCGGCTGGCTCCCAAGTTGGCCACGCCCAGCAGGAACTCATTAGCATAATAGGCCACACCCAACAGCAGGAACTCATTAGGATTGGCTACAATTAGGGGTGTGTGGCCTAACATGCAAAAAGCCCTGGGTTTTGACAACAAACAGGGTAAAGGGAATAAGAAGCAAAAGGTGGGTGTGGCTGGATGACTACACTTCTGGTAACATGGGGGTGTGGCCTACTATGCGAATGAGCTGTGCTGGCAGGAGTGTGGCCTAATATGCTAATGAGTTCCTGCTGTTGGGTGTGGCCTATTATGCTAATGCGTTCCTGCTGGGCTTTTTCTACAAAAAAAAGCCCTGATGATCAACATTTCCCTGGGTGTGTAAGAAAGGGCCACGAGAACTAAGCTTACCTCTGGAATTGTCAGGAACTGAACCTGGGACCTTCCGCTTGCCCTACCACTGAGCCACAGCATCTTCCCAAAGGAGAAAGGTGGCGGCACTAAAAGGCCATGGCACAGTTTGGTGTAGTGAGAGCCAGTTTGGTGTAGTAGTTAAGTGTGCAAACTCTAATCTGGGAGAACCGGGTTTGATTCCCCACTCCTCCACTTGCACCTGCTGATGTGACCTTGGGTCAGTCACAAGCTCTGGCACAGCTGTCCTTGAAAAAGAGGAGTTTGTGTCAGAGCTCTCTCAGCCCCGCCCACCTCACAGGGTGTCTGTTGTCTGTTGTGGGGAGGGAAAGGGAAAGGAGTTTGTAAGCCGCTCTGAGACTCCAAGTGAAGGGCGGGGTATAAATCCAATCTCTTCTTCTTCTTCTTCACAGTAAGTGTGCACATTTCCGCCCAGTCCTTAACACTGCCAGGTAGCCAACTCTGGACTGGCAAAATCCTCAAGATTTGGGAGTGGAGGTTGAAGAAGGCAGGGTTTGGGGAGGGAAGGGAAGGGACTTCAGTGGGGTCCAGCGCCACAGATCCCACCCTCCAAAGCATCCATTTTCTCCAGGGGAACTGATCTCTGTACTCTGGAGATCAGAAGAAGAAGAAGAGGAGGAGACTGGATTTATACCCTGCCCTTCACTCCCCGAAGGAGTCTCAGAGCGGCTTAAAATCTCCTCTCCCTTCCCCTCCCCACAACAGACACCCTGTGAGGTGGGTGGGGCTGAGAGAGCTCTTTCGAGGACTGCTCCTGAGAGAACAGCTCTGAAAGAACTTGTAACTGACCCAAGGTGACACCAGCAGGTGCATGTGGAGGAATGGGGAATCAAACCCGGTTCTCCCAGATTAGAGTCTGCACTCCTAACCTCTACATCAGTTTGTAATTCCAGGAGAACCCCCAGATCCCACCTGAAGGTTGGCAACTATTGGAAAAAAAATTTCCGCAGAGTGCTTAAAAACGCAGCAGGAGAAAGGCAGCGTGTAGTCAATGCGTGTTTGATGAGAAAGAAAACTTTACTGAGAGATAAAAGGGGAAAGGGTACATTGGTACTGAAAATAGCAAAGCGTAAACAAACCTCCATGTTGGTTAAAACCATTCTGCCCTCTAGAACAGGGGTGTCGAACTCATTTGTTATGCGGGCCAGATCTGACATAAATGAGACCTTGTTGGGCTGGGCCACATGTGTCATAAGATGTAATGCCAGGTAGCGGAGATATAAACTTTATAAAGGACACAAACTCAAAGGGTTTTTTAACTTAAAATAAAAACATGCTTAAAACATGAGCACTCATGCAATATTTTGTTTGTTTAACCGTGTCTGATAACTGACACCTCTTGCTCTGAATTACTGCATCAAAATGTCTGTGCTGTTGTAATCCTGAGTATGATGTTCAGGTGTGTATCTCTAAGCTGCAAACCTACGATGACGTAGCAGCAGCAGAACTGGAAGAAGAAGCAGAAGACAGCCAGTTCCACTGTGGGCCTGATGGAAGCCCTCTGGGGGCCTGATCTGGCCCCCGGGCCGCATGTTTGACACCCCTGCTCTAGAACAAAGAACACGGAAAATTTCTCACACACTGGCTACGTGACTTAAAAAAAACGTGGTACCCGCAGTGATACTGTTTAACCAACAGGGAAACGTAGATCCCCCTCATTAAGTCTGTTACCTCCTATTTCTCTAGCCAGAACTTACACCGTGTCTAATTGTCTCTGTGCTAATGAACTACTATTTGTAAACACAAACAGCAGACGAACTCTTTCATGACACAAATGGAGACATTTGCATATTCCAGCAGTATCCCCATCAGGAGAGTCTCTCTCCACACTGAAGCTCTTGGGCTTTTTAATGGCTCTTTCATTTCGGATACTTATATCCTGATTTCCTGTTACGAATGTTAAGACATTTAATATATGAAGCTGCCTTATATTGTATCAGACCATCCCTCTATCGAGGTCAGTATTCTCTACCAGTGCTCCCTCTAAGCTGTGGAGTCCTGTGAGCACTGTTCCCTCTAAGCTGAGTTAGTGTGAGCTAGCTCACAGTTTCTTAGCCTCCGGCTCACGCATTTTTGCCTTAGCTCAGGAAGGAGGGCTCCAGAGCAAACTAATTGATGCAACAGCCAAATCGCTCGCTCACAACTTTGCCAGCAGCTCACAAAGTAGATTTTTTGCTCACAAGACTCCACAGCTTAAAGGTAACATTGCCTGTGAGCAAAAAAATCTACTTTCTCTGGCTGGCTAGGCAGGGGTTCCCAACCTCTCTCACCGCTCCACGTGTGTCCCTCCCAAAGCTGCGCGCTCCGTCAAAGAGGAGGACCATCCAGTGTGCTTTGTGAGCGACTGGCATTAAAGCTGTGAGTGAGCGATTTGGCGGCTGCATCAATGAGTTTGCCCTGGAGCCATTCCTTCCTGAGCTGAGCAAAAATGTGTGAGCCAGAGGCTAAAAAACTGTGAGCTAGCTCACACTCACTCAGATTAGAGGGAACACTGTGATGTACTCATATTGGCATTGGCTCTCCAGGGTCTCACGGAGAGGTCTTTCACATCACCTCCACCCTGATTCGTTTAACTGGCGATGCTGGGGATTGAACCTGGGACCTTCTGTATTCAAAGAGGCTCTACCACTGAGCCACAGCCCCTCTTTACAGCTCTCCAGGGTCTCAGGGAGAGGTCTTTCACATCATCTCCACCCTGATTCGTTTAACTGGGGATGCCGGGGATTGAACCTGGGACCTTCTGCATGCCAGGCAGAGGCTCTTCCACTGAGCCACAGCCCCTCTTTACAGCTCTCCAGGGTCTCAGGCTGAGGTCTTTCACATCACCTCCTGCCTAGTCCTTTTAACTGAAGATGCCGGGGACTGAACCTGGGACCTCCTGCATCTGCACGTCAAGCATACGCTCTGTCGCTGAGCTACTGTCCCTTCAGATCTTTCACAAAGCCAGTGTGATGTAGTGGTTTAGTGCACGGACTCAAATCTGGGAGAATCAGGTTTGATTCCCCACTCCTTCACATGCAGCTGCTGGTGTGACCTTGGGTCAGTCACAAGTTCCTTCTGAGCTGTTCTCTCAGGAGCAGTCCTCAAAAGAGATCTCTCAGCCCCACCTACCTCACAGGGTGTCTGTTGTGGGGAGGGGAAGGGGGAAGAGATTGTAAGCCGCTCTGAGACTTCAAATGAAGGGCGGGATATAAATCCAATCTCCTCCTCCTCCTTCTCCTCCTCCACCTCCTCTTCTTCTTCTACTCCTCCTCCTCCTCAATATCAGTTCTTGTAAATGTCAGAGTCCAGAGGGGGATTCTGCTAATGGAAGGTGTGCCCAGGGAGTCACGAAAGCTCCTCCCCTGCCACAAATTTTGTTTGGCTTTAGGGTGCTCCCGGACTGTTGCTCTTTTCTACTGCTAAAGGAAGGGAGACAATTTTTTCTGGTTTCCTCTCCCCACTGCAGAACCCCAGCTCTCCCTGATACTGTTCTTTGGGGGGGGGGGGGTGAGAGGTCATCTGTGCCCCAAGAGAAGCATTTCAGGGAGCATTTGGGACCTGGGGCAGGGAGGCCACGAAATCCGATTCTGCTGATGGAGACACCTTCCATCAGCGGATATTCTCTGTGGCATCCTGGCCATACTATGGAAGTGATTCTCGGTGGAAGACTAGAATCCCCTCTTGAAGCTGTCTATGCTGGTAACCACCACCACTTCCTGCTGCAGTGAATCCCATGTGTTAATGATTCTTTAGGTGAAGAAGGACTTCCTTTTATTTGTTCTAAGCTTACTGCTCATGAATTTCATTAGGTGCCCACGGGGTCTTGTCTTGTGAGAAAGGGAGAAGAGTCCTCCTTTCTCTATACCTTCTCTATCCCATGCATAATTTTGCAAAACCTCTATCATGTCAACCCTCAATCGTCCTTTCTCCAAGCTGAAGAGCCCTAACCTCTTTAACCTTTCTTTGCAGGGAAAATGTTTCATCCCCTTAATCATTCTAGTTGCCCTTTTCTGCACTTTCCCCAATGCTGTAATATCTTTTTTTTTTAGGTGCGGTGACCAGAACTGTACACAGTATTCCAAATAAGGCCAAATCATAGATTTCAGGGGCATTACGATATTTTGTTAGACCAAAGGTCTGTTTCAGTATAATTCAGCTCCATGTGTGTTCGTGGCTATTCTGTTTATCGGGTGGAGAGGTTCTTTGCAGCGGGAGACGTCTCACCCATGCCCTAACTCTGCCTTGTTCTCTTTCAAGGTATTTCACAGGTGGTGAAAGACCATGTCACCAAACCCACGGCGATGGCGCAGGGCAGGGTGGCGCACCTCATCGAGTGGAAGGGGTGGTGCAAGCCGATGGACTCCCCGGTGGCCCTGGAGAGCACGTTCAACTCCTACTCGGACCTCAGCGAAGGGGAGCAGGAGGCCAGGTTTGCCGCAGGTGGGAACCGGCGTCGGCGGGAAAAGCGGGCGAGCGGGCGGGAGGGGGACGTCCCCTGTTGTGTAGTGGGTTAGACGCATGTAGAAACCGCAGAGGCGGATGTAGTGATCAGCATGGTTTACTGGTACACAACCAGAACACAGAATACCGGCCGGGTGGCCAACTATATACAGTATTTGGGAACCCCTCTAGATCCTATTGGTGGGTTTGAACCTCCCGCTAAAGTCCCTATTGGTTCCCCAAGGAAAGTCCAGGAGCCTAGTCCCTATTGTTCCTAGGGAGTTAAGCTCCGCAGTGAGTCGCTGGCGCCTAGTGGTGGTCAGCGGACATAACAGCCCTCCCCCCATAGTTTGGACCCAACCTAAGTCACGTAGTCCTGAAACTACGACGGTGGCCACCGCTCCCGGGTAGATCGCCTGGGAGATGGCACTGGAACCTCGGGGGCTTCCGCCGGGCTGCTTGGAGGAGAAGGCGGCGGCAAAGCTTCTGCCGGCGTACCATTGGGTACGGGAGTGTCTACCTCTGGTGCGGCTGCGGGAACGGGGGTGAGGTTCTGCGGCTCTACAGGCTGTTTCTCTCGATCCCGGGCCTCGGGCAGATTCTCTTCGGTGTCCTAGGTGTCAGTTCTTCTCCTTGTACTGGCAGCATGCGTCGTCTCAGCTGGTCGACGTGCTTGCGGAGGACTTGACCGCACTCGGTCGACACCTCATAAGACACCGGGCCGGTGGGGCGGATGACGCGGCCGGCGAGCCACTCGGGGCCCTTACCGTAATTACGGATGTACACATGTCATCAGGGAAGAACCCTTGCGGCGCCTCAGTATCTAAACCCCTAAGGATGCGAACTCCAGTTTGGGAGATTCCTGGAGATTTGGGGCCCGGGTGACGGCACGCCTAGGTTGCTTTGCCGTTTCTTAGGGCTTCATCAGGCCGCTTTTCTTAGTGATGGAGCTCGACCCTAAGGAACGGCAGAGCAACCTAGGTGTGCCGTCGCCGCTCCTTTGGTTTGTGCTACAGCTCGTCCTGAGCCCACGCCGTCTACTGCGTGTTTTCTTTTCTCTTCTCTGCACCATGAGCTGGTGACCGCATCATTCTGAAGAGAGACTTGTACTTTCAAGGACTATCAGGTCGCTGTTCAACTGGTGCAGATGTCGCTTATGCATGGTGGCAGCACCATTTGTTCCGTGTATCATTTATGGCTGTAAGCAGAACTGTGTAAGAAGGCAGTAGTCTCGAGTGTGATTTGTACAGCACGACAGGTTATTCTGGTTATTTCTTTGCGCAACTGTCTTTGCTGTATTTCCATTTTCGTGTGGTTGACTACCTGGAGGTTGGCAAGCCTAGGGCAGAGCCAGTTTGGTGTAGTGGTTAAGGAGCGCGGACTCTAATCTGGGAGAACCGGGTTTGATTCCCCCACTCCTCCACATGCAGCTGCTGGTGTGACCCTGGGTCAGTCACAAGTTCTCTCAGGGTTGTTTTGTCAAGAGCAGTCCTCGAAAGAGCTCTCTCAGCCCCACCTACCTCACAGGGTGTCTATTGTCTTCTTCTTCTTCTTCTTCTTCTTCTTCTTCTTCTTCTTCTTCTTCTTCTTCTTCTTCTTCTTCTTCTTCTTTTTCTTCTTCTTCTTCTTCTGTGCCCTGGTTTGCTGTATCTGCTTTTAGGAGCGTTTGAGTGGCCCCAAGGCCCTGGCCTTTCTCGGCACGCGCAAGAAGGTTTTCCCCACTTCCTTTGTATGGCCAACTGGGTTTTTCAAAAAGGAGGCTGGCCGGCCACCCACTGCCACAGAAGGTCTTCGGCTTCCAACCGGCTCCTCTTCCTGCCGACTGGCAGCCTCTGCTGGCCGCAGGAGTGGCTGGCTCCGTCCGTGTCCCCCCACCTCCCGTAAGAGCTCAGCTAGCACAAGGCCAGCAGCCGCTGAGTCACCAAATGATCCAGGAACCAGGGAAACGGAGCCCGGGAGGGAATTGTTTGTCCCCTCCTTTCCCCGCCCCGTTCTGCCTGCCGACAGCCCAGCATAGGGCTGCCAGCTCCGTGTCGGGAAATTCCTGGAGGTTTGGGGCTGGAGCCAGGGCTGCCAACCTCCAGGTGGTGCCTGGGGATCTCCCACTATCACGGCTGATCTCCAGGCGACAGAGATCAGTTCCCCTGGAGGAAAGGGCTGTTTGGTGTAGTGGTTAAGTGCGCGGACTCTAATCTGGGAGAACCGGGTTTGATTCCCCCACTCCTCCACTTGCAGCTGCTGGATGACCTTGGGCAAGCCGTAGTTCTGTCAGAGCTGTTCTCTCAAGGAGGGTTC